TATTTATCGGTCCAAAGACATTATTAAGACTTGGCAGAATTACACACACATTTTGTGGTGATAAACATGTGTCAATTGTCAAGAAAACCTAATGTGAATAATAAATCCATCACTACTTTACCAGAGTCCCTCTGGGGTGAGGCTCTAAAGACAGCAACTTATATCTTAAATCGGGTGCCAACTAAAGCAGCTGCAAAAACACCTTATGAGCTTTGGGTTGGGCGAAAGCCTAGTCTAAAACATTTGCATGTGTGGGGGTGTCCTGCTGAGGCGAGGCCTTATAAACCTTATGAACGAAAATTGGACTCTAAAACCATTAGCAGCTACTTTATTGGCTATGCCGAACGATCCCGGGGTTACAAGTTTTATGATCCCACAAATAGGTCAATATTTGAGACGGGAATTGCAATATTTTTTGAGGATGTTGAGTTTGGGGGGAGAAATCCAGTTAGAGATATTGTTTTTGAGGAGGAAGCAGGAGTAATCCCACTTCCTACTACTACTTTTGACCAATCACAGGTTCTTATACCTGTCATTGCTCGAGAAATAATTTCGGATCCTCAACCAGACAATGTTGTTCAAGATAATATAGTTCAAACCCCCATTCAAGATGAGGTAATTGTTCCTGAGGAACAAACTCTACAACCTCAACCTTGAGAATCTGTGCCATTAAGGCGATCCACCAGAGAAAGGGGATTTGCATTTTCAGATGATTATATTGTATATCTCTAGGAACATGAGGTAGAAAATGGAATGTCGAAAGATGATCCAATCAACTTTCGTCAAGCCATGGAAAGTTCCAACTCTCATAAGTGGATAGAAGCCATGAATGAAGAATATAAGTCTATGCAAGACAATAAAGTTTGGGAACTTGTCTCATTACCAGTTGGTGCGAAGCCCGTAGGTTGTAAATGGATATTTAAAACCAAAAGGGATTCAAATGGTAATGTGGAGAGGTATAAGGCACGTCTTGTAGCCAAAGGCTTTACTCAAAAAGAAGGAATTGACTTTAAAGAAACTTTCTCTCCAGTTTCTTCGAAAGATTCTTTTAGGACAATTATGGCGCTTGTTGCATATTTTGATCTTGAGTTGCATCAGATGGATGTCAAAACAGCTTTTCTTAATGGTGACATTAAAGAAACAATTTATATGGTGCAGCCAGAAAACTTTGTGTCAGGAGACCCAAAGAATATGGTTTGCAAATTGACTAAATCCATCTATGGACTCAAACAAGCTTCTCGTCAGTGGTACTTCAAATTTCATCAAATTCTCACTTTGTATGGTTTTAAACTAATGTTGTTGATGAATGTGTATATCACAAGTTCAGTGGGAGTAAACACATATTTTTGGTTTTATATGTTGACGACATATTGCTTGCCACAAACGATATAAACTTATTGCATGACACCAAGAGATTTCTATCTAAGAATTTTGAAATGAAAGATCTTGGTGATGCTTCCTTTGTATTAGGAATCGAAATACTCCGAGATCGTTCTCGGGGTATTCTGGGATTATCACAAAGGAGCTATATCGAAAAAGTACTTAATAGATTTGGCATGCAAAATTGTAAATCAGGTGAAACCCCGGTTGCTAAGGGAGACAAGTTTAGTCTCAGCCAATGGCCGAAGAACAGTCTTGAAATTCAAGAAATGCAGAAGATTCCTTATGCCTCGGCTGTAGGGAGTCTAATGTATGCTCAAGTATGTACACATCCGGATATTACGTTTATAGTTGGCATGTTAGGCAGATATTTAAGTAATCCTGGCATGGATCATTGGAAAGCAGTCAAGCGTGTTATGCGATATTTACAGAGAACAAAGGAATATATGCTCACATATAGGAGATCGGATAAGTTAGAGGTCATTGGATATACCGACTCCGATTTTGCTGGATGCCAAGACAGTAGGAAATCCACATCAGGCTATATTTATCTGTTAGCTGGCGGAGCAATTTCTTGGAGGTCTGCAAAGTAGACGCTCATAGCTTCATCCACCATGGCCGCAGAATTTGTAGCATGTTATGAGGCATCAAACCAAGGGATATGGCTGCGGAATTTTGTCACTGGGTTGCGTATTTTGGAAGGCACTGCAAGACCACTTAAGTTATATTGTGACAATAAGTCTGCAGTTTTATATTCCAATAACAACAGGAGCTCGACAAAATCAAAGCATATTGATATCAAGTTCCTAGTTGTAAAAGAAAGAGTGCAGAGTGGACAGATTTCCATAGAGCACATTGGGACAAACTCCATGATAGCGGATCCACTTACGAAGGGACTACCACCCAAGGTCTTTCATGAGCACACTGCTCAGATGGGTGTTGTTCTATTTGAGAACATTCTGGTTTAGTGGGAGTTTGTATTTATATTACTGCTTTATGTCAGCCTTGAGTTTTATCTATGTAATTAGATTAATTTCTGCAGAAATGAAATATTCAGTTTATTACGCTCTGTTACGTATTGTGAAGTATTGATCTCAATAAAGTTAAGTAAGACCAGTTGGAAATAGGCATGTATGGATCACATCACATGTAATTTCCATGCTACGCATCCATGATTGATCTATGTCATTTAGCTGTATTAGTATACGTGACCATTGATGGGTCGAGTTACGATTGATGTAACGAAGACCGCTTTGATCCTATATTAATATAGTTAATGGACAAGATTGTTTGGATACCCTCAAGTTATGATAACAAATTTCTGAGCTCACTAAAGTTAAGCACATTTTTCAGGATACATATGTGGTCCAGTGGGAGATTGTTAGATAAGGTCTCAATGGGACCACATAATTAAATTTGTTGTTATCATTTATAAGAAGCCTACAATTTAAGTGATTCAATTTAGTTAATAGGCTTAAGGGTATATGTGTTATGGACCTAATGTGTAGATACTAGTTGTATAATTTATATTTCTATGAGGGGCAGAAATAGAAATTAAAACATATTGGTTAAAGTTGGTTTTCATTCATTTTGAACTTCCACAACCTTTCAGTTTTGAAAACCAATAAATAGAAATTAAAACCAATAATGGTTAAAGTTGGTTTTCATTTCTTTTGAACTTCCACAACCTTTCAGTTTTGAAAACCAATTACAACCTTTAAAAGGTTATGATCCAAAGTGTAAGTTTTATGTTCTGAAATTTATATTGACACTGAACACGTTGAAGCTCAATTATTGGTAGTACAATGGAGTAGATGCACTAAGGAGTACAAAGTTGTACTCTACCAATAAAACTGAAAATTGTAGCAAGTACTATGGTGCAGTACACCCAACCAAAGCTATGAAATTTAAAAAACGGTTCTGTATATTATGCACATAATATGAAATCATCCACACAATGCCCACCAAAGTTGGAGAGTAAAAAAAGGTGGATGGGTCCAACAGGAGCGACTTGAGATCACATTAGGGTGCATTTAATCTGACTGTGTGCTTGATGATGTGTTCTCAGGTCACCCCTATAGGATTTCTTTCCACTGATTAATCGAATGAATTTTATTTGATTCTCATTTGTAATTATCTCGACATTGTTAGCTAAGATTGTCCCCATTAAACTGATAGGTTTGTGATTAAATTATTCTTTATCCATACTCTTTTAAGCAGTTCTTTCCATGTATTACTACCAGTTATTTTAGATTTTATTTTTTGAATTCTTATTGTTTTATTTTTTAAAATTCCAGGGTGTGATCTTTGTAGACAAAAGAAGATCAAATAATAGTCAACGATAATGATAAGGTTGTTCTTTAAGGTTGCTTCATTACAATCTAGCGATCTTAAATCTCAAATGTAGATTTTAAAGTAGCAATAAGATTGCTTGATCGATCTAGGCATTAGAAGTTGAAATTTCAAAACAGTGTAAATTTACACGTGAGGATAAAGATGCATATATCTAAGGGGGCAATTTCATTTAAAAAGATTGTCAAGTATTCCCCAAATCTCAACTTATTCGCTGAGCAAATTGATTTGCAAATTGAAAATTTGATGCAAAACATATTTCTAGCAAAACAAACGTTCTTGCTAATTTTCTTTCCTTATTGCAAAAAGTCTTTTCTCCTTTATGTTTTCCCTCTGCTTGCTTTGGTAATAAAAAAATCCTCAAAAGTTTCTTTATTGTTACCGGCTATGGTTTCACTTTCAGTGAATCCTCCATATAAACTTCAAAGATTGATTTTTACTTAAACTGTGGTTGATTAAAATATTTGACGAGAAAAATAGAAAGAGAAAAAGAAAATACAATTTCACTTTTTGTTTGCTTATACAAACAAACATGGAAAAGAAAAAGTGAAAAGGAAATACCATCACATTTTTTCTCTTTTGGATTCACTTAAACTCTTTTCTTTCTTCTTTTCTCAAATTCAACCAAACATAACCTAAAATTTAAACCCTATCCATACTTTCTTATTTTCTTTCTATTTCCCTTTTCCTTCTATTTCCATCATCAATTTCTTCCTAATCTGCTTACATGAACGACACAAAATTTTTATACTCATGATATTTCGCTCAAAACTCTTCTCCATCTCCCGTGTAACTTCACTTCTTATGCAGCATAGGACGTCGTATTATTTTTAAATATAATGAACCAATTTAGTGTAATTTATTATAAATTAAAAGCTAAAAATTAAAAATCAAAATCAAAAACACCCCTACTTCAGTTTTCAGAATGTGATTTCTTATGCAGCATAGAAAAGTTGTATTATTTTTAAATATAATGGACCAGCTTAGTGCAATTTACTGCAAGTTAAAAACTAATGATCAAAAAGTAAAAACCAAAAACACCCCTCCCTTAGGCTTTAGAAAATTAACTTTTTTTCGACTTATTTAAACTATTTTTGTCTTATAATTATAAACAAAAATTACACCAAATAGTCTGACAAAACTCTCAAATTAAAATAAATTATAATTAGATCATTTAAACTACCCCAAACAGCCTCAATAAGTCCTACACATAGACAACTTCGATTACATAAAAATACGCAAAAAGTTGAAATAAATTTACTGACGAATAACATAAACATTTCTCTTCTTTTATTCCCACAATAAACGTACAAGCATTGGCCAAGGGCACATAGAAGTGAATGTTTTTTTGTACAGGACCATACCTGCATTAGGAAAAGCAAGGGACGTCCTGCATTAGGTTTTAGTACACTACTATATGAAGATTAACCTACAAAACTACTTCCCCACACAAAATTAAATAAACATAGACTAATTTGAATAAATAAAAACAACCAAAAAAGGAAGAAAGATACAGCTATTGGAAGTAAAAAAATATAAAATGGGATGGGCAAAAAGGATAAGCCAAACTAAACCATTTAAAATCGACTCGGCTATTCTGCAAATTCCTTGCTCTGAGTAATAATCAAACCAAAATCCTTACAGCTGATGCAATGGCAAACACCTCTTCCTCCTCAACTTTCTTCCAAACCCCACCAATCATCAGCCGGCCCTTGACACCTTCTGACAATGTATCATCCTTACCATCCGATTCACACACACCTTCACTCCCCCTCATCTTCTTAAGTTAACACACGAGTTACTAAAAAGCTCAACATCACAATCGAGTCCTCACTTGAGCATACCCTCGTTCAATGCCCTCTATTCCTTGCTTTCTAATGGCTTTAGAACTTCTTTATCATCATCATCACAGACGAGAACAGGAAGCCAAACAACATCACAGGGCAACATACCGATCGGACATGAGTTCCATGATTTTGTTATAACCCATCGGTTATTATTTCCCACATCACCATCCGTTGTCTTCAACACATTGCTCTTCACTTGGCGACGTTTAACAAACTCAAGCTTCTTGGCTGCTTGGTGAATAGAATCCTCTAGTCAAGCAAGGTTCCTTTCAGAACTCGTGGCAGGAGAGTTTTCTTCATCAAACTTAGGATTTGATGCATCTAGAAAACATAGTTTGTTCAGTTTCTGAACCAAAGAGCGATTTCCAATCATATGTGCGAGAACTAAGGCCGCATCCCTGAGCTGGTTGTTGCTAGGACTTGAAACCAGAAGAGATTTTTGTAGGAGTTTCACCGGAGTTGCCTTTGGCAAACTTGTATCTATTGAAGAACCTTCAGTTACAATAGCAGAATGTCCCCGCCCTATAGGCTTTAGTCCCTTCAGATTTCTGACTAGCCACTCAAACAGATCCGAAACTCTTTCAATGTGGTGTACCCCAGTTGTATTCTCTCTGATATGGCATGTTCTCCTAATAAAGTTTGACCCAATTTTTTTTTTTTTTTTTTTTCAAAGACACAAAAGAAACAACATTGTAAGATCATTTAATCATTGCATACACAAAGACACAAAAAGCTACAAGACATACTAAAATTCATCTCTCCACTATTACAGACTATGGTGTCAAGGGAAAAACCTACAGGACATACTACCCAGACATACACAGACAATGTTGATTTTCGTATATCCATTGAGCAAAAAAAAAAATAGGAATGACATTATAAATGATAACTAGAGATAAACCAATTAGTGATCAAATCTAAAAATAAACTTGACGGCAAATTTCAAGCTCTCTCCAAACAGGGACTTCAAAATGGTACACATGACAGATAATAAAGGCATGTCAACTAGTTAAACTGTTAAAAAGTAGGATGTGAACATATCAACAAGTCAAAATCTTAAAAGCAAGATATTGGCATAACCACTCCTAATCCTCATGTCTCATCTTTGCTGTAAAATATTTGATATATGTGTAGTCTTTTCTAAATACATATTAATTGTTGAAATATTTGATCATTTTTTACTTTTTAAACTTCCATTGGACTCTATTTATTTTTAAACTATTTTTCCTTTATAAAATGTTATAATGGACTAAACACTAAGGGTTGGTTTGAGATATTCTAAAAAAATACACTTTTTGACTAATTGGCTTATATGGGTTGGGTTTGATGTGATGTGTTAGAGAGGTGATGTGATTTAAATAAAATGATGTGACTTAAATAGGATAGTGACTTTTTGACTTTTTGTATTATTTAGTAGATGCCAAACTTGGCCTAATTCTCCCAGTATGTACTAGAAGAGGCCCATACTACCCCAATTGGTGAAATAGCCCAGTGCAATCTAAAATAATCAGACACTACCCTAAAAATTACCCCGAAGAGAATTCAACCCACTTTGTATCATTTTGTTGCCAGTACAACCAATAGGTAAAGAATGGGATTGACAACTATGATATCAACACATACAAAAAATTAAAAATAAATACTAAGTGAGGAGTATCTCTGTGATTCGTAAATCTCAGGCATTATTAAGATTTCAAACATCAAAATTAATTTGCATATTATGGACGAAGGTTTCCACCACCTAAAGACAGCACAAAATAACTTTTCCAAGCCAAAAGTAGTGCAGCAACCAAACCCAACAAAGAAAATCCAGTGTTCGCCAAGATGATGGTAAAATTTTTCATAAAAACTCAGCAAAAATTATGCCACTCTTGACAATATTCAGAAATACTAGTTTTATGTTAATTTAATTGTTATTGGGGCTGTCCCTCTGTATTTCAACCAAAAAAATGTGATGTAAATATTCTCATTTTAAAACTTAAATGTAATGCAATATTTAGAAGTCTAATGAAAGAACCAGAAATATTAATTGAACAAACAAAAAACAAAAATGTAGCTAACATGTTGGAAATAAGACATAGCAGTTACCACTTTCATATTCCATGGCCTTTTGAGTCTCAATCTTTTCAAGGATTGCCTTAATAAGGTTCAGAAGCAACTCTGGTTCTTTATTTGACAATTTCTTAACGACAGGCTTCCAATCATCAAATAGACTCTGCACATGAATTGTACTATGACTGACTTGATAACTTTTTGAATCTGATCCGCTCAACAAAAGCTGTACAAAAACAGACACTACTTCTAAGGAGTAGGAAGAATATAATCGAATAAGATGTTTGAATGCCTTGGTGATCTGTTTCTTAGAACTTGAAACAGACAACAGAGCAATGGATAAGACAAAAAACAAAAAATAAAACGACATACCAATAAATAGTTTTCTCAAAATTTCTTGACACATAGCAAGTCCAAAATGGCAAGGTAACAAATACTTATTTTCTCCTATCTATTTTTCTTTCTCCTCAATATACGAAAGTAACAAAAATTTAATATACCAAAGTTATATTGAATCAATCTGCCCAAACACGCAAACAAAACACTATTCCGAAATACTCCAGCTGCATCCCAAATGACATATTCCCTTAACTAACATTCTGAAAAACAAGAATCAAAATGAAGGAAAAACTAATCTTGATGTATCAACCACAAGCCTTAATTAAGACAATTATCTTTGCTTTAAAAAAATAAATACATAAAAAAAGAGATTAAGCTTGTATTATTCTAACAGTTATTTAATATTAGATCACTAACATTTGTACAGTTGCATAAGTTGTGATTCAATCATGCAGTTTAAAACTGAAAGTAATAATATAAATCATGTTTTATATACTTCGATACAATTTATCATTATTATTCTCTGCAGTAGTGTAAAGAGCGTTCTTATTAACATTTTGTAATTTCAATTACCATAGTTGCAACTAATTTTACACTAAAAAGCAGGTTGGATCTTTCTAAATTACTATGTAGCATGGACACGAACACGGGACACGGACACGGACACGGGACACGACACGGGCACGACACAGACACGCGGACACGCAATTTTTCAAAAAATGGGGGACACGTTTAATATATATAATTTTATTTATTTATTATATGTCTAAAATAAAAAGAAAATCTTTAATTTTTATACAATTACGATAATAATAAAATTAATAAACATATTTTTTAAATTTTTTTTAATTAAATGAGTTTTTTTAAATAAAAATAATTTATTTTATAAATTTTAGATTTAAAAAAAATAAGGATAAAAAAAGAAAGAAGAAAAAAAAAAGGGGGAGAGAGAAACAGGATAAGAAAAAGAGAAAAAAAATTAAAAAAAGAGAAACAATAGAGGAGAGAGAGAGTGAAATCAAAAAGGCTGAGATAGAGAGACACAGTCAGAAAAGCAGAGACGAAAGGGAGGAGAAAAGGAAGAAAATGAAGAGAAGAAGAACAGGGAAGACGAAGAGAAGAAGGAGAAGAAGAAGAGAGAAGATGAAGAATACCACCTCCTCAGCTTCTTCGATTGACAGGTTAGGCTTCTTCCTCTCCCTCAATCTCTTTCTCTCTTTCTCTGTCTCATCTCCTCCCTCGATCTCTCTCTCTCTTTCTGTCTCCTTCGATCTCTTTCTCTTTCTCTGTCTCCTCTGCAACAGTTTTCTCTCTTTCTCTGTCTCCATCGATCTCTTTCTCTCTTTCTCTGTCTCCGTCTCCACTGCAACAGTTAGGGTTCTTCGATCCATTCATGCGTGTCCGGAAAGTGTCCCGGCGTGTCCATGTCGTGTCCAACTGGAAAATTTCAAAAAAAAAAGGGATATGTTAGAGAGAGTGTCGGACACGTGTCTACTGCGTGTCCGACGCGTGTTCGTGTCCGACACGTGTCCGACACTCGTACGTAAGGCCTAGGGGCGTGTCGGTGCTTCATAGCTAAATTACATTCGTTCCAGCAATTTTGTATTCTTATATAGTTGGTATCAGTGTGAAATACAATTTAGCCATCGTCACTCCACACCGTTATGTTCATATATCCGGATAGATAGTGTTTAGGTTCCCTACTCCCCAAGTGTAAAGGGATATTTGGTCAAAACCCCCTCGTAATAAAACTTTAATGTATTAAGAATAAACACAAAAAGTTTTCCCTGAAAAGTCCAACATATACCACTATTACCAATATATTAAACTTCAAAATAATATAACTTTTGATCTAGATATCGGTTTTTAATAAAATTAGGATATTTAGAATCCTCTCATCAAGATCTACCAAATAAGATCCATGTTGTGATGTAGGACCAAGGTTGTTAAGATCGGGATCCTACATAGGATCGTTTTGGGGGTCTGGAGGATCGGATCGGATCGAGGATCGTAAGATCCTACTAAAACGATGAAAAAATGCAATAATTCTTATATGTCTAACTAATACTATCAAAATACATATAAAATGACCCAAAAAAACTTGAGAATGTAGCTCAAATGGTAGAGCTCTCATACTTATGAGCAGATCGAGGTTCAAATCCTCGCATTCTCACTTGTGCACTAACAATAATCAATTCAAATATACATTTTGCACATTTTTTTAAACAAAGAAAACATAATAAAAAAAGGTGGCAATTCAACTTGTCATTCAAACATTTTCCTCAAATCTTAACAAAAGAACATACTAAAAGAAAATAGCAATTCAACTTCAAGTCTTCAAGTTAACACTTGCACAACATTGATATCCTTAACAAAACAAACTAAAATAAGAGAAGAATAAATAAACAAGAGACTAAAATAAGTCATCATCTTCATCGCCGAAATCATCATTGCCACAATCAACAACATTGTCGATCTCATTGTCTCCCTCATCTTCATCATCACCCACAGTGTCACCCAACTCCTCAATGTCATCATCACCAATAGTAGCATCATCAAAGTCATGATCAAAATCCCTTGGAGCATTCATGTTGTCATCCATATCATCATCATCACTTACTTCATGAATTTCACCAACATTTTCTCCAATATGGTCAAAAATAAGGTAAGAACATTCCAAATACACTATTAAGAATGTCAAAAATGAGCCCATGCTCGAGCGAAGGGTAAAAAAATTCCAAGTTAAATTGTACATCACAAAGACCAAGTCATTCATTCTCTTTTGGTGTAAACGATTCCTCCGCTTTGAGTGTACCATCTCAAAAGCACTCCAATTGCGCTCACACCCCGATGAACTGCATGTTAGACTTAATACCCTGATTGCAAACCTCTTCAACTCGGGACATTCATCACCAAAAGAGTCCCACTAATCCCCTACATCGAAATTTTAATTAAGTAGTTCAAAATTTAAAGTTCTTCAAAACAAATAATCATAACATAAGATTGATACAACTTACAAATCAACTTAAGTTAGGGTAAAAATAAATAACCTGGAGATTTCTTTTTTCTAGTCAAGATTGCATTTTGTATACCAAAGAGTCCTCTTGCATTCTTGAATGCATCAATTTGCAAATCTATCTTCACCCTCTCATTAGTGTCAGGGACCATTTTTTCAAGACATTTGTACAACCCAATTTTAATCTCTGCATTAGCTTGAAAATTGGGACTGTAATGAAGTTGAGGGTTCAAGAAGTATGCTGCAGCATGCAATGGGTGATGGAGTTGGGTTTCCCATCTTCTATCAATGATGGCCCATATAGGATCATAGCTGACACAATTTAATAAATATTATTAATGAATAAATAAATAGTTTATGGAAATAGTATTAAAGAGTAAATAAATAGCCAACACTAAATAAAAAGTTTACCATCTTAGGACATTATTGAAATTCTTTTGAATTTCCTCTTTCGCACGATCCATTGCTTCATAAATGAATCCCATTGCCGGATGCTCATATGAATCCACCAACCTAAGTACCTTAATGAGAGGTACTGCAGCCTTCAAGCAGGTAGAAACACCCTTCCAAAAATATCGATTGTCCAAAACAATATTTTCAATTTTTTTCCCCTTTTCAGACTTCGCAAATCTACTATTCCTCCACTTGTTTGATGTAAATAGAGAGAACAATGCACCTTTTTGCTCATGAAGACGTCTCAATGTCAAGTAAGAGGTAGCAAACCGAGTTACCGCAGGCCTTATAAGTTCAATGTCTTTTGTAAACTCCTTCATCTAATGAATAAGATTGGTTCTTGAATAAATGTATGCCACAATCTTTTTTCCTTTACCAATTGTAACACGATGAACTTGTATTTCCTTCTCAAAATCTTCTAACATCAAATCTATGCAATGGGCGGCACAAGGAGTCCAAAACAAGCCTTTTCTTTTATCCATTAACATTTGTCCCGCCAATTTATAATTAGAAGCATTGTCAGTTACAACTTGTACAACATTTTCTTCTCCAACCTTCTCAACAACCTCATCTAACATCTCAAAAACCTTTTCACCTGTTTTTGAAATGTCGGATGTATCTAGTGATGACAAGAAAATAGTTCCATTAGGGCTATTCACAAGAAAATTACATATGGATCTTCTCTTTCTATCTGACCATCCATCCGACATAATTGTACATCCGGTCTTCTTCCATTGTTCCTTAAACTCATCAACCAATTGTAGTGTCTCATGCACTTCTTTTTTTAAAAATGTCACCCTAATTTCATGGTAAGATGGTGGCACAAGTCCTTTTCCATAATCCCCAATCTTCTTAACCATGAGTGGAAATATAGGGTTGTTCACACAATTAAAAGGAATTGCACTAGTGTAAAAAAAACGAGCTATGGTTTGACAAACATCATCTCTCTCTTCTTTCTTAAACATTTGATTGAGAGTTTTTTGATTTTGACGTCCAGATTTCTTCATCACAAATTTATCTATGGCACCCACCCGTTTTTGTTTGTTTTGATGATGATATGCTAATAGTTCCACCTCCTCTTCAGAATCATCACCAACATCAAACATCTTTCTCTTTTTATTTTGAGACTCTAATGTTTGAGTTCTTAAAAGACTCATGAACTTTCCTCTAACATCTTCTGGGACTTGAGGACATGGCTCAACATTTTGATGAGTACAAGCTAAATGATGTTTTAATCTAAATATACCTCCCGATCGAGTCACGTTACAATACTTGCATTGTACCTTTTTGGTTGCAGCATCTATTTCAATTCCATGTTCCCAACCAGGATCCGTTCGGTTACCCGCAACATTTTTCCTCTTCCTCCCTCTTCCAGAACCAGAGGCAGACATTGTTAACTCAATTCACAAACCTACAATCATCTATTGAATATCACTGAATCAATTTACTACAATTTACAATTTGATAGTTGTGAAATATCAGAGAGAAAAAAGTCAAGTTACAGTCAAAAACAAATTGATTACAATAGTAATACCATGATGCCCTACAAAGGCCTCATTGAAATTATAGATAAGGATAAATTAGAATTTAGAAGTTAATTTACAAATGAAAGACTACATAATCATAAGCAACTTTAGCTTATGTTAATAAAAAAACAGAGCAAACATTGAATCAACTCACTAGGTAATCTAAAGTCATGTTACAATTTACAAATTAATTGAGAACAAACCCGTATGAAGCTGCACTTTTCCTTGGTGGTATCTGCGCACTTTTCCTTGGTGGTATGGTATCTGCAAAAATAAATTACAAGTTCAAAATTAGGTTGACAGGAAAATGGAAAAATTGAAGAAGGGGAAAAATGGAAGAAGGGGAAAAGGGGGAAAAACAAAAGGGGAATGAAAGACAGAAAAATGGAAGAAGAGGGGAAGAAGAGGGGGAAAAAAAACAGTAGCAGAGGAAAAAGAAGATGGAGGAGAAGAAGAAAAGGAGTCGAAGAAGACGAACAGAGGAGAAGAAGGAGTCGAACAGAGGAGAAGAGAAGGAGTCGAAGCACAGAGAAAAATGAGTCGAACAGAGAAGAAGAAGAAGAAGAAGAAGAAGATGAAGAGAAGACGAAGAAGAAGAAGCATACTTGGAATCTGGATGGAGGCTGGATGGAGGCTGCTCAGCTCTCGTGACCAACTTTCCCCCAATATTTTGCCCTAATCTCATGTCGTGGACTCGTGGGTCTTTAGAAAATGCATCAAACCTGTAATAAAAATATCAGAAAAAAGCCCAAAAGTAGGATCATATAGGATCGCGATCCAAATACAATCCTACGATCCCACGTACGATCCTACCGATCCTGCAACGATCCTGAACAAAATACGACTCATCATGCGATCCAGATCGATTCTCCAAAAATGGATCGTAGGATCGTACGATCCTACGATCCGGATCGCGATCTTAACAACCTTGTGTAGGACGAGTAAGGATTACTTTCCTACAAGCAGTGAGCCTGGTTTAACGGCAATAGTAGACTTATAGGGCTGAATTTGGTAGGATTTTGTGACTACATAAGTATTTAAAAAAAATAAGAGTTTAAGGGTTTGTAAAAGGGTAGGGTTTGAGAATGAAAACACAAGTGTTTAGGGACAGTTGGGTGGTTGTTCTAAGCATTGTGAACAATAACATGAACAGTAACCTTACTGGATAGAAGAAGAACAAGAACAAGAGAGAGAGAAAAGTGCTTCACCCTTGCAAAGTATAGGCCAATCACACAAACTTGTTAAGATACGGGAGAGGAAAATAAAAGATTTTAATCAAGTTAAGTGCATCAAGAGTGAGGATCCTAAGGTATTGGTGAAGGATGAAAAGATTAGGAGACATGGAAGAACTATTTTGAGAAACTATTAAACGAGGAAATGGAGATACATCAATTGGGAAAGAAATAACCAGTAATACGATAAACCAAGACTATAGGTTCTATTACAAAATTATGAACTTTGAAGTAGAGATTGCACTTAAGAAGATGAAATCAAATAAGGTTTTAGGACCCGGTGATATCCCTATTGAAGCTTGGAAGTGTTTGGAAAAAAAGGGGGTTGCTTGGTTGACTAGGTTGTTTAGCAAAATTTTGTTGACTAGGAATATGCCAGATGACTGAAGGAAGAGTATTTAGTGCCAATCTATAAGAATAAAAAAGATATCCAGAATTGCAACAACTATAAAGGAATCAAGCTAATGTGTCATATAGTGAAAGTGTGGGCGAGAGTGATGGAACGCCGATTGCAAGATATAACAAAGGTGTCAGAAAATCAATTTAGGTTTATGCCTAGCAGGTCAACAATGGAAGCGATCTATCTTTTGAGGAGAGTAACAGAAAAGTATAGAGAAAATAAAAAAGACATTTATATGGTGTTTATCGACCTTGAGAAAGCATATGATAGAGTGTCTCGAGATATAATATATTGGGTGTTAGAGAAAAAAGGGGTGACAAAAGGTTACATTAATGTGATTAAGGACATGTATGAAGAGGTGGTGACCACTATTAGATCGCCTGTTAGAGAGACAAAAGAATTTCCTATCACTGTAGGGTTACACCAAGGATCTACCTTAAATCCTTATCTTTTTGCTTTAGTTATGGTTGAGTTGACAAGAAATATTCAAGATGACGTATCATAGTGTATGCTTTTTGCAGATAATATCGTGCTAGTGGATGAGACTAGAGAATGAGTTAACACAAAGTTGGAGATTTTGAGAAAAACACTTGAATCTAAAAGATTCTGGATAAGCAAAACTAAGACAGAGTACACGAAGTGTAAATTTAGTAACAGTAACAATGAAGGCAGAGGAGAAATGAAAATTGAGAACTAAGAACTGCCTAAGAGTGAATATTTTTGTTATTTAGAGTCAATTATCACAACGGCGGGGGAGATTGATGCGGATGTGACCCATAGGATTAAGGCAGAACGGTGTAAGTAGAGAAATGCGTCTGGAGTACTGTGCAATAAACGAATACCCACTAGACTAAAAGGTAAGTTCTATAGAATAGCTATTAGGCCAGCGATATTGTATGGGACGGAGTGTTGAGCAACCAAGAAATGACATGTAGATTAGATTTGTGTGGCTGAGATGAGGATGTTAAGGTGGATGTGTGACAAGACTAGACAAGACAGAATTAGGAATGAGTATATTCGAAAATGGGTAAGAATAGCACCGATAGAAGATAAGTTGAGAGATAATCGATTGAGATGGTTTGGTTTGGTCATATTCAACGAAGACCAACAGAGGCAATAATGAAGAGAGGTGATGTAGTGACGGTAGATAGAAGTGTTAGGGGACAAGACAGAATTAGGATGCTAAGATAGATGTGTGACAAGACTAGACAAGACAGAATTAGGAATGAGTATATTCGAAAATGGGTAAGAATAGCACCGATAGAAGATAAGTTGAAAGAGAATCGATTGAGATGGTTTGGTTTGGTCATATTCAACGAAGACCAACAGAGGCAGTAATGAAGAGAGGCGATGCAATGACGGTAGATAGATGTGTTAGGGGACCGGATAAGCCAAGATTAATGTTGACTAGCATTGTAAATAGAGATATGGATCTACTTAATTTGACTAACGAAATAGTATTTGATAGAGCCGCGTGGAGAAGAAGGATTCATGTGGCCGACCCTATTTGATGGGACATAAGGCTTGGCTTGGCTTGGTTTGGTTTGGTTTAGTTTACTAATATTCTAGACCAACTATGACTTCCAATTTTACTTCAATCATAATAGGAAACTTTAATGACTTCTAAATTCTACTTCAATATCAAAATAGGAAACTTGAACTTTTGACCACTAAGATTATTTTAAACATAATAAAACCCATATATAATAATTCATTTAATAACTTGACCCAAAATAAAACCCATGGGTGACCCATACAACCCGTGTCCAACAATTATTGGAATTACTATTATACCCTTAATTACTAAAACTTACTATAATAACATGAAGACTCAAAATTATTCCAAATCTTTAATTCTTGATGCCCTAAATGTGCTTCATGTGAAATTCCAGATTTGCTCTTTTTCTTCTTTCCATGATCTTCATCATGTTGACTATGAAATTCTTAAAAAATATATATATATTATTACTTTCAAAATTGATGTAAACAATAACATGTTACTCTGGTTCAAAATAACATGTTACTCTAGCAATATTGTCCAAGACAAAAAAATGATATTTTATTTTGTCCTTACTCAATTATGCGCCTCCTCCTTAGGAGGTTATGAAGCAAAATAAATTGGGCTGTCCCTTTCGCCAAATACGGGTCTAATAAAGGGATTTTGGCTAAATTTCCCAAGTGTAAACCACCACCCCCAACCCCCAAAAGAACTAACAAAGAGATGTTAATGTTAGTACTAGCATTAGGTTGGGAATTTCATTACTGTGTAATATGCTTTTAGATAGAAACCAAACCACACCCCGAAGAAACACAAAATTGTTTTTTAAACTATTTTGTCAATATGGTCATGTCTTAGGTGTGTTTCATGCCTGTGCTTCTTAGACCACTTTCGTGAAGAGAGTATATTGGACAAGCCTTAGAGCCTTGGAAGCTTGAAGAATTATGGAAAAGCTTCATTGGCATGCAAGATGGTACGGGAAAGCTTCATCGGCAAATAAAAAGCTTTAGACAAGGATGGGATCAAGAAGACCATAGAGAATGGGCTCTACAATTCATTTAGTCAGTTCGGGCGACTAACATTGAAGATTGGTCAACTAGGGTTGTGTCTAATCCACAGGAGACCAATCATATAGGTTGGTCAACCATATAGGCCTTTTAGGTTGTCTTCCATACATGCATACCCACATGTGGACTAACAGAAGCAAACAAGTAAGTCAACACAAAATGGAATCCCAAGAGTGCATTCCAGAAGACTAAGATTGGGCTGACCAAAATTGTGGTGTGGGCAAGCCTACAGACTTAGAAATTTTGAAAAACTAAATGTTAATTGCCAGGGACTGCCTCCTATAAATACACCCAAGCCCCATCAGGGATTCTTTGATGAGAGAAGACACCTAGAGAGTTTATACACCTCTTATACACACATTTTATCCAACCCCAGAGAGGGAGAGCAACCTTCAACACAAGTCTTTCAAGACATTGCTCCTTAAAGTCTTTGGTCTCTTTGCTAGTGGAAGGCATTGTTCTCAACCTTCTTGTGTAGTTAATATATTATTGCCATCGCATACACCTATGGCTGGTCGCGGGCCGGTTTTGGCTGGATTGGGGTCACACCTGACCCACATTGCTGCGGGTTAACAAAATTGGACCTGCAGCCGCCTGAAATATGGTTTGCGGTTTGTGTAGGTGGGTCAATCGGTTCCACGGGTGGGTGCAAATCGGATGTGCGGGTTGAAGCTTCTGCTTTTCTTGAAATTTTTTTGTTGGCCTTTCGTTTTTTGGCCACTTTTTTTGGGACTATTTTCATGTAAAACTAATAGCCATGAGATTTAAAAATCTTATACATTCAAAATTAATATCTCAAATCACGCCCATTCACCCCACTGATGCGACACACCAAAAAAAACCCATTAGAACACAGGCAGCTCCAGAAAAAATACAAACAAAGCATAGCACCAGCACCCCACAGCATCCATAACCAATTCATCAAGCTTAACCAATGTCCACCTCACTATATTGGAGCATATCAGAAAGTATTACATCTTATTGGAGCATTCTTTAGTTTTATTGTCAAATCTTAAAAGAAAAACAACATGAATATATATATATATGATGATTGATATATTCATATATACATATATATTACCTGATGCATTCCTTAGTTTTATTGTCAAATCTTTGGGGACAACATTTTTTTTTTTTGTTCAACAACAAAAGCTTTATTGATAATCTTTAGGGACAACATGGATATATATATATATATGATATTGATATATGTATATATATCTGTATGTCAAAACTCGCCGTCTGTCTTCAGATCATCATCAAAGAAGTCTTTCACTTTCTTTCAATAGTCGGCAAGAGAGAGAGAGATAAGAGATTATAAAAGAGTAAGCAGCTGCTGGGTTGCTGCTTGCTGCTAGCGTTCAAACTAACAAAACAAAACAGAATTTTTTTTAAATTGATCTGCAGGTGGGTTGGATTAGTGCGGGTCCAACCAAGACCCGATCCAAACCAGAACTTTTTCTTAAAACTAGACCTGCATCCGTCCTAAACTTATGCCGAAACTGCCCAATTCGCTGCGGGTAGGATCGGATAGGACGGATTTTGCAAGTCGGCTATTTTTATACCCAGCCCTACATACACCTACACTTCAATCTCATTTAGAGACACCCTAGGAGCTCAAGGTGAACATAGTAGTTGAAGTGATAGGAATTGTGGATTGGTGGTGGTTGGTTTTGGATTGAACTAAGAAAATCCAGTTACTTGTTTTGTTTGAAGTTTGTTATAAGGATTGTAGGTGAGCCGAGAGAAAACCTGTTGGTGTTGTAAAGGTTTCGGGTGAACCAAGGGAAAACCAGTTTGGTTTAAAATTCAAGACAGCCAGCCCCTAATATGGCACTTAGAGGAGAGAGAGGAGAGGAAAGGAAAGGGGAAAAAAAATTACAAAAAATAAAAATCAAACAACCCAACTTTTGAACCACGTCTTAGCATAAGACTGGCTATAAAAAGCTGAAAAACACCACTGCCATGTACGTCTGGAAAATTTTAAAAATGACATTGAATGGATTCACCTGCAGACTTTGAAGATTGGGTATGGGGTTTGCCGGCCATAAGAGAGAGAAACTAATTACGCCCGCAAAGTTGTTCGCAATGTTTAGTCCCTACAAAAGAAGTGGATGTCAATAAAATCAAAGGTCATAGAGTAGTTATAAATTTTGAATTCTTCTCCTTTTTTATCAGCAACAAAGGAGATTTTATTAATAATATAGAAAAAAGAGAAAGATACAAAACGAGCACAACACAAGTAATAGACAAAAAAAGGAAAGGTAACCATAAAGTTCCTTTATGCAAGAGATAAATCAAACTAACTCTTATTCTCAACTCAACTCAACTGACCATTGTCCTAAATACTAGGATTAGCTAACATGACTACATGAGTTGTTTTAAAGGGACAACAAATACATACGGAAAATAAAATCACATAAGGTTGAATATAAGGCATGCGCCTTTGGTGAGGTAGACCAATAACACAAAACAACATACAGTATGTAGCCAAATATGTTTCTTTTCTTAATGACATAACAAAGAATTTCTTTTTTTTATTCAAGCAGATATTATGGGTATGTATCTACACATAATATTATTTGCTCCACAAACAACGTAGTTTTAGGCCTTTCACTGAATATTTCTTCCACTGTGATAGAAATATGATGTATTTGAATCACAAGCAGCCTACGAAAAGCTTAGCTGTAAACATGTGGATTTTACTTCTTTCTTTTCTTTTTGCGTCAGACTTGGGGAAGTTATAGTATATAACCCATCACTAAGCTTTCTTTCAGTAGCTGAAACACAATGCCTCTACAAAGGTGGACTGTGACTGCTTTAGTACCAGTTTAGCAGTTGTTGGATTTTGCATCATAATACTGAAAATTTTCAAATCCTTTTAATTAACTGCACAATAATAAAATATTGCACCAACCCAAAATATACCACTTGAATATCCATGGTAATTTTTTTAAGTATAACTTCAAATGTAAAAAGAAAATAGGATAATTTTTATTTCTAAACCTGCATTAAAGAGAAATTAAGACCTGTGTTAAAGAAAAAAAAGGGTATCATTTTTATTTCTGAACCTGCATTAAAGAGAAGTGTTTCCAAATGTTTCATTTTATTTCTGAACGATAGATTATCCTATTTCTGAACCTACATAATTAAACAATATATATCATTTTTAAGACCGATTTTCAAATATGTATTTGAAAAGTGTACCCTTTTCAGATGTTCTTAAAGCAGAGCAGGGTCTTAATTTAAAAGTGCTTCCTAAAAGAGCCTTAATTTCAAATTAATACCCTGTTTGTATCATTTTCAAATTTTTTATACCACAAGTTAATTTGTTTATTTCCTTTTTCTATCACAAGTTAATAACAGCAAGTATTAGAACAGACCAGGTTCTTTAGGATCTTAGAACAGAATATTGAATAAAAGCATCTGCTCTGTTGTAATCCTTGTTATTAACTTTTAAGAGAAAGGAAAGTATGCTTAATTAAAAACCTGTTATATGAAAATAGATCAAAGATTTTATAATAGATAGCTCATTTTCCAATTTACCTTACAATTTAAGTTGCGCCAACCAGGACTTGATTAGCATTTAAAGAAAGAGACCTCATAGGCAATCTTTAAATAATATGACAGAAGAATGCTTCTGAATACTATCAATTTATCACACACACATATACCAATCAAAGGATTATTGAACATATGGCAGAAGCATAATAATGTCTATTTAGTTTATAGCAAACACAAAATATTGAATGCATGCCACAAATTAAAAAGGATACAAAGGGGAAGAAAGACAAGGAATCCTTCAAGCCATGGAAAAAGAAAAACACTGATAAATAAAAAATGAAAACTCCATACGCACGTTTCCCCTTAGCTAATGAAGGACTTGAACCTTTAGTGTGCTTGATTTTCAACCAAAAAGCCAATTCACAGAGTCTATACTTGATTTCTTTTCGCAGGCTACCAATGCCATCACTTTGAAATGGAATTGCCTTCTTTTGAAGCTCCCAATAATAAGACTTCAACCAATCTAGCGCCTGAAATTGCCCACAGAATTATAATGCTTTGTGATTTAACTTTCAGACAACAACAACAGTAAAGAAATTCAGAATTTAATGATCCCATTCACAAGATATGTGAAAGGTACAAAGGTGTGTATTGGAGGTCATGTAATCTCAAATCAACATGAATATTACTAAACAATTCAGTTGGATTAATCAGTTCAAGTTGTATTGTCATGGAGCTCCATACAGAGTAATTTCCTAGAAGCATAGAAAAATATATAGTTCCTTCAGTTTGGATTTGGTGCAAAACATAAAGATGGAGTGAAAAGTTCTGCTTCAAAATTTGAAGGGTAATTTATCCTAGAAGCATAGGAAAATATCACATCTCACGATCCATAAGAAAGATTCAAAGCTCTAAAATTCTCTAAAATATTAACTCCATTAAACTAGAAGCGTCACATGACTTTATGCAGAATTTAGAGACTTTCTTTTCCAGTTGGATTGGATTTGCCACAAAGGAAACTACTAAAAACTTACTTCTAAACTTTATCCCATACAAATAAAATCCAAAAAAAAAAAATCAATTAAACAACTTAACCCATAAGACAACCCATGGCAACCCACAGAAATTCTATAAATTACCAAAATACCCCAAACCTTAACAACTTGCAAAAATTAATTTTAAACTAACTAGTAGCATATTAAACCCAAAACAAACACAAATAGGGCTCTAATAAAAATAGTATCTCATGCCAATTTCCAAATATTGCCACTTCTTTAGCTTTACTTTTTCTTGCTCATCTAGTGGATTGCATCACATGTAAAATGGAAGGGTTGATTTCTTAGTTTTTTTTTTTTTTTGGTTCTGGATCATCTAATTTTCTATGTCAATTCACTAGAATCTTTTGATTTAAAGATGTTGTTTCAGTTGAAACACACCTGAAGTGCCAAAATTTCGAAATTGATCCTTGTCTGCTATACGTTTTCTTCTTTTTGAAACTTTGTCTTAATCATCTCTGAATATCAATAAAAAAAACTACATCCATCTATTCTTTTAAGACTCAAAACAATTTAGAAAGAAAAACGGTGCCTCTTACAGGCTAACCAAGTGGGTGAGCCATTGACAAACTTAACATGTGGATAATCTCCCACTTCACCCCAATAACATTGTTATGTTGGACGGGCATGGCGTATCTTATAATTGTTTAAAGACCAAGATTTTGGACAAGCCCATTCCAATCTTCTTTTGGTACGAGAATACCAAAGTCAAGTGTTTGGAATCATTTCTAATATTTCAGGCAACACAAACTACAGAGCTACCCACATGTGATTAGAGCAATTTTCTGCACAAGACGTCAAACCACTTTACATGCTCAAAAACCTAGTAACTTATCATGGCAAACAAGCCTCCTAATGAGGACAGTTGATTAGATTATATACGACAGAAAGAGAACATATACATACCTTAATTGAAGCAAGACGAACCAACCGAAGTGAAGGGAGATCACGGTGAGAACCCTCTACAAATAAACATCAAAGAGTGACCAATGTTGGTTTGTACCTATATGTCATTTAAGGGAAAAACATGACCGTAATTTGTAGAATACATCAATGATAGACCGAATGTTGGTTCAGTGGTATCTAGTTGCCAACCCAGTAGAGAAAATAGAGAGATTGATCAATGTAAGTTTCCGTTTTATTTTTTGTTTTGAACAGAAAACACTTTTCAAAAATGAATGCACTCTAAGCCTTAAAATGTTAACTCTCTAATGTGACTCGAAAGTGGTGGGGTTCAAAAGTAACCAACTCCCTAGACTTGGGGGTTAGAATAGCAAGATAAAATGTTAATAACTAGATAAAGAAAATACATATTTTGATTTGAGCGCAATGATTATTCGGAGTTCCTTACCATGACGAATATCAATCAGCATACGTGGAATATTGATTGCATCAGCTGCCTCTGCAATTGATACCTCTGTCTTCTTGCGTGTCTTCTCAACAACACCATTCACAAGCCTTCAAAGAAAAAATTTAAGAGTTAAGCCTAATTTCTTCTTAAAGTTTGAAACTGAATGCCACAAACATGCAGAGAGAAAAATTAATCACATTCAATTACAACATGAAGCTTACACATGCTCGAGTGGTCACTAAAAGTTGAAATGAAAAGGCATATCTGCTTAATAATGCTCCTTCCCCCCACCCGCAAAAGAGGGAAAATAGAAAATAAGAAGGTGCCCACAATTAAAACACTAGTAAGCAAGCAAGCAAGCAATTAAACCAACAGAAGTAAGGCAGAGGGAAAATACTTTTCTACTTTCAACTTATTATCACTCATCAAATCAGCAATTTCCATACATATTATTATGTACAGATGGGTTATTTATTATAGTTCAACACTTCACAACACTTATTCCTAGAATAACATGTGCTTGTAGTTGCCACAAACATTTTATTTTAAGGGAATAGACTATAACATGTATTACCCTTAAAAATATGGTACACATAACAAGTACACTTATTTTGAAATTATAAATTATTGTTATACATATATAGATTAGACATACACCAGTATTCCCAGCTCATGGTTTTAAATCACAGTATTAGTTGATGTAATAGTCGTGGTTTGATGATATCATATACTAGGAATCAAAACTAGGGCCATGAATTTTCTTCTAGCACAAAAAATGCCAAAAATAATAATAATAATTGATGAGCAATTTATGACCTCGTTTATCACAATTTGAGTGTTGGTAACAGTTTTTAATTAATGTTGTAGCAGCTAAGAACATGTTTTACAAAAGTATACTAAATTTCATATTACTTTTAAGGCCAAAAAAGTGGAACATTTCATCTAGTAAGTGGTAAGAGAATCTCACAATCTAGAATTCTTCAAATTAAGAAGCTTATTTAAGGATCAAACCTATGAAAGGAGTTGAGAATCAAATCAAGCCAAGTTCAAGTCCAAATCCTTAAACTACCATTGTGGCAGAAAGACTTGAGCCAAACCCATCTCAACACTGTAAACTCATAACAAAAGTATAAACTGACACAGGTACAACATTTCCTAGGCAAAAGTTAAAGAACCATACACACAAATGGCATTCAGAGGAACAAAGCAGGAGAGACTTTCCAAATAGATAATAAAATTGGACCATTTGTTTAGCAAGGCAAGCTTAAACTATCAATACATTATCTCAATTCTCCTAATTTTCTCTTAAGCCTTGCCAATCAAGTTCGAGGATAAGGTTGAGACATTTAAGATTTTTCATTAATAACTTCCTCAGAGATGGCATCTTGGCCCAACCGTAAGACTTACTATTTGCGTCTCTAAAGACACAGGTTCAAGTTAAGAGAACAATCTCCCAAGCTATGGGGGTAACGCTTTTGCGAGAGCCTTATGTGAAGGGCCACCCCTTTTTTTATATCCGCCATCTCAAGCCTAAATGTTTAGCTCATTTGGATTAGGAAGCTAAGCTCAAAACAACAGTTTAACAAAAAAAAAAAGCATTCACTCTGTTTGTTTCTAGTTTTCAAATTTCACTTTTTAAAAAATTATACTTTTTTGTTTTCCGTATTTTTTTTTGTTTTCACTGAATTTTTTTAATATTTAAGCAATTTTTTTAATTTTTAGACACACCGAATATAAATACACTTAGAAAGTATAGTTTTTTAAAAAAAAATCTTTAAAAAAATTCACTAAATATCAAAAATACAAAAAATCAGTACATTTTTTGTATTTTTGTGTATTTATTAATTTTTTAAAATATTTTTTCACAAATAATTTACTATTTAGATACATCTAAGTAAGGTACATCTAAAAAAGTAAAGAAATTGCTTAAAATTTAAAAAATATTCACCAAAAATTTAAAAAAAAAAACGCAAAAAATAAAAAACTCAATTTTCAGAAAACTGAATTCAGAAAATTAAAATCAAACACACTGATTATTATTTACCTCCTAAATTATCCTTACGATTTTCTATTAGGTTTAACAATGGTTGCAAGATTAATCAGGTTTGGATGTACAACTTGTGATAATGTCCACCCAAATTGCACCAAAGAAAGAAAGGGTTGAGCTTATCTTTTCAACAAAACCTCAATTTCTAGGGAAGGCAACCCCAGCTTAAGAGGTGGTTTGGCATCCCCTATATAATCCATTTTTTTATCTTTTTTTCATCACATCACCTCTCTACTTTTCTGCACATCTTTTCGTAAAAAGATAAAAAGTGTACTTATTTAGATCATCCCAAATAACCCTTAAATATATTAATCAACTTGGGTTTTCCATCAGATTTAACGATGGTTGCAAGAATAACTATCCAGGTCGTGACAGTGTCCACCCAAATTGTAACATAGAAAGAAAAGGTTGCGCTTCACTTTTCAATACAACCTCAAATTCTATGGAAAGCAAGCCAAGCTTAAAATACTTACTCAATATTAGTAAGCTTGGGTTTTTATAGTTGCATATCTATACAAAATATATCAAAACGCTGGAGCAACTATGATTTTTTTTTACCACAACTTTTAACATGAACCATGATATAACCTAAGCCAACATTGGATAAGCCCACCAACACGCCCCGCTCCTCCTAAAAGAGGGGGCAACATATTGCTTTTAAAGGGAGTGTGGATGAAGCCAACCAAGTTTTCATATAAGAAAGAAATATATATATTGAGAGCTCCATATTTTCCTTTCTTTTTTCGCCTAGGGGTGGGAAGTTTTGGGAGTTGAGAACGTACAAGTAACTTTATCCTATAGTTGATTTTGGATCTTCTTTTTTTTTTCTTTTCTTTTTTTTTTTCTTTTTTTTGATAAATGCTTTTGGATCTTCTTTTTGACATAAAACAAAAGTCATTTTGTTTCTGAAATACAAGTTAGACAAAAAAAAAATAATAATAATGAATATAAGTCTCAACCTGAGGTGAAAATATTTATCAACTTCAACCCCATTTAAAAACTTTCATCTACTTCCTACATAGTCATACACATAGACGACATCAGGAGAGAATGAATGCTTCCTTATATCCAAACAAGCTTTAGTAGTACCAAAGAAGTATAAAAAAAGAAATACAAGAAAAATAAAAGCACTAGGAAAAGAAAATCATAACCAAATTTTCCCTTTTTGTTTCCAAATCCCCCAACCAAACACTGAGTAACAATTGTAAATTAATATATTTTTCTCTCTTAATGCATCAACCCAAAAACCCATGAGAATAATTCATCAATAAAACAATAATTACCTCACAATTGCCATGCAATATAGCATCGTCAGCATCTCCTCCGAGTCCAAAGCATCATCACCAAGGTCAACTCTACAATTGACAAGACAATTCCTCGGTATAATAATAAAATAAATAAACACACAACATTCAAGTTTATTTCAGTTTGGAATATTAACCAAAAAAAGTTTGGGAAAAAAATTCATTACCTAAAAAAAGGGTCTTTTTGCTGAATTTCAACAATTGAAGCAGTTACTTCAATCACAATAGGAAGACACCCTCTGCTTCGCCACACCGTTATCTGGAAAACCACAATTGGTCATGCTAAAATTTGTAATATCATTAACCTCCGTATGTTTCTCGAGAAAATTTTCCCGGAAAATAGGAGTTTTATGTTAGTACTTACTCTTTGAAGAGATAAGGTAATGGAGTGTGGGGAAGAAGAGAAGAGAGAGTCTCTGACCAAGTCCCATTCATCCCAGGTAAGCCACGGGACCAACTTGTAGTCGCATGATCGGTCGACATCGACATCGACATCGAAGCTGCTCGTGGTTTCCATAAACCCTAGCAATGACTCCATTTCAATTCACTGTTTACGATTAAGGGCTCGGGATTCGGGAATGCCGCAATCACAATTGGAATTTCCTTGGAGGTAAATTCCACATTCCAGCCCTCCTTTACCTAAAACTAAGCGGGTGGCAAACCAAAGTATGCGTACAAATTCGGCGGGCCCAAACCCGACCAACTCAAACTTAGATTGAATTTGTTTAGGGGTTGGACAAGTTATTTTTAAATTTAATATAGGTTTGGATAAAAATTTAAAAGTCCGAATTAAATTTGAATGAATTTAAACAAAGAGGTTAAATAATTCGAGTAACTCAAAACCTAAATTATATATATAGATATATAAAAATAAATAAACATATAAATTATTAATCATTACATAATATTAAAATAATTTAAATTATTAAATCATATTGAATATATATTACAAATAACATAAAATCTTATTTTTTTTATTTCATTTATAAATTGTAAGGATTATTATAGCGACATTTCTTTTATATTATATAATTATTTGTTTTGATGATATTAATGATTTTCTATATAAAAAAATATAAATAAGTCAAATTTTAATAATTTAATAATGTAACTGCACAAAAAAAAAATGAAATTCATTTATAATTCGGGTTTAATTTGGATCGAGCTTGGGCAGACAACTTCGGGGTTACAATTCGTGCCTAGGCAGGTCTCAGCACAACTTGGGATGGGCTTGGACACCTCCGAATCAGCTCGAGTTGCACCCTTACCCCAAAGGGGGTGAAATCGGTCCGATTCGGCCAGTTATTCTGCGAAATTTCCAGTTATGCTGTGGTTCGATCAATTTAATCAGTTTGTGATTAAAAACCAGAAAAGAAATTCAAAAAAAAAAAATCTGTGTAATATATATATACTAGTGTATGCCCGTGTCTAAAGGCACGGTATAAATAATGTTAAGATCAAAATGTGATTGTAATTTATACGTATAATGTTGAAATTTGTGAAGCTTGTGTTTTTTTTTATAAAGATACTAAAAAAAATATTGAAATATTTTTTTTCTTAGAGAACTTGTAACAATTTTGTTTGTATTACACGCTCTACAAAACTCAAATAAAATAACAGCTCCTCCTAACCTTAATGCAAATTAAGAAACAAACATATAAGATTTATAATGTTCACTAATATTGCAAACCAAAATATAAGAGCAAGTAAAAAAAATTGTAAACATAAAGCATAAAGCACATCACTAAGTACTTTGCAATCTAAACAAATTAAATTGAAAATTAAACATCAACCAATGCATACCAGCATGTACTCTACAATTCCAAATAAATCAAATATAAAAAAATTAAATATCAAATAATACACATCAGCCAGTGCTCTGCAATCTAAAAAAATTAAAATTAAAATACACATCAATTAGTGCTACTGCTGCCAATCAAATTATAACTACATAAGTAAAACAAACATTATATTGTCATACACTAAAAGAGTGGGTTAAAACTTTACAAAAAGTGGGTTAAAGCTTTCCAAAATATGTATGCTCACTACAACAAAACTGACTTTTTACGGCACCACATCAACGATATACAATAAATGCACACCATATTTTCTCACTTTTACGACTTGCTTTTTTTGCACGTCGTAAATACTTTACCAACCACGACTTGTCTATTGCGTAGGCCATGAATGGTAATAACGATGATTTTTTTACGACTTGCAATGCACGCCGTAAATAATAAAACTTTCAACGACGTGCATATGGCGTGCCGTTAATACATCAATTATACATGACGCACATACGCCAGCCGTGGAAAGTGAATACTTTTCACGGCGCACACAACGCCCGCCATTAAAAGTACTGCCTTTTTACGACGTACACAACGCCTACCGTTAAAAGTGTTGCGACAACTGGCTTGACAGCGACATCCATCGCCATTTCCCTCATCATCTCTTTGCTCACTTCTATTTTCTAACTCGTCTCTTTGCGGCTTCGATAAGAAAAACGACGTCAGCGTCAGGCACAGGGAGGAAGATAAGGGAAGGTACACACTCATACTCTTCTTTTCTCTTCGCTGTTTTCTCTCTCTCTCTCTCTCTCTCTCTCTCTCACAGATTTGCGAATGAGATTGAGTCAGGCCGAGTCGAGTTGCAGAGTTATTCTGACGAGTCGTCGCTCGGGTGGGAGACCGAGTCAAAGAGGAGTCACACCTCGTTTGGGTCGGCAACAAAAACAAAGCACGGTAAGGTTGAGAGGAAGAAAGGAACTTCGTGGACAGAAGAAGAACACAGGTACATTTTCTGGGTTATTTAGATTCTTTTCTTAGCTACCGAACAGAGTGTTTTCTTGGGGGCCAAACAGATCAACTAGTTATGTACATGAGTTTCTTGATTGATTTTTTTTTCCCTCTTTTGATTTTGTGTTTTATTAAGAACTACCCTAAATTGGATGATGACGAATATGTTGTTTGGCTTTGGGCCACCTCTGTGATGTATCCTAAACTTCTATACATGGTTGTTTCTCTCAATTGTAAGTCTCCTTTGCAACTTTTCAGATGTTCTCCTAGCATTTGTTCACATTTGTAGAACAAATGAGGTGTAAGTCAGTGATAAATGCAGTGGTCAGACTCTGTCATTTTTTGATTATAGGAAATGGCTGCTATAGATTATTTAGAAAACTGGATTCAGTCTGGGGTCTGTTAGTCCTATAGTGTGCCAAACTGAAAATTGTGATTGATTTCAAATTCTGATTTTGAACTATAGACCTGCTATTCCAATATGGTGTGATAAAATGTAAGGCATGTGCTAATAAGTTCTCAATATACTAAAAGTTGAGATTTAAAAACCCATTTTAAATCATTTTGCTTCCGTATTCCAAACTTTTTAAACATGAAGAGGAAATGAAAAAAGAAAGAACAGCAGGAGTAGGACATAGACAAACAGACAGTGTAAAATTAGCCAAAACTCATTATCTTATATGAACAAACTGTCCTGAAGAACGTGTGTGTGTACACCTATCAGGCTCTAACACAATTGTTGATGTAGAACACAATAACTAAAGGTACAAATTGGAGATTTTCACATGGGCATGCTTCAAACCTTACTACGTAATCAAATTTGGGTTGATTTTGAGTATTTATGTTTATTCTCAACTCATTACATTTCTGGTCACTTTAAAATTGGCCTGTGATATAGTAAGTACACAGGCCATGTTCTTGGTCAACCAAATCATTTAATGCTCACATTTGGTATATAATGTGGGTCGAGGATTATGTTGCAGGTCAATTTTTCCACTTTTGGGACCCTAATCTTAGTAGAAGTAGGAGTTTAGCAACCTAAACATAGCAACACTTATTCTTCAACTCAGTAGAGTGGATTTTGATAATTAAAGATTGTGCTATTTTGTGATGCAACCCAACCTTGGAGAGTAATTCCTAAAGAATCAAAGTGGGATTCCCATAAGATCCTTCTCTTTCTCTTTCTTCTGTATTTAATTCTCTGCTATTAGATTCTGTTATTTCAATCACAAACCTACCTTAGTTTCTTTCTTTTGTTTCATTCCAAAGCCTATATTCCATGAGCTAATCCTTTCCTTACTAAATTTGGACTTTAAATCAACTCCAAAACCCAGAAGTACTTTTTTCCTAAAATTTCCACACAGCATTCTGAAATTCCTGCAATCTCTTATTTTCAAATAAAGCCAAACTCCAGTCACTTATCCTCTAAACACTACATTATTTCTTCAACATTTTACAAACCCTATTCTTACAAGTTCATAGGTTAAACCACCATATAACTAACCATAGGCAGCATTATAAGTGTCATAGTGTTGTCCAACATCATCAGGCCTCACTTAGAAGAAACGGCAAACTGCATTACGTTCAAGTGCAACAAAAAAATAATAGTAGTATAAGATCATCCTAGGTTGGTCAATTTTTAACGCTAAGACCACCATTCCACATGATACCAACTAGTCTTTTCAGAAAAAAGGCCACCACAGTAGCTGACAACTGGGGTCCTCTAATATTGCCTTGGCATTGCTCTATAAACACAACTGGGCGCACCCCATCAGACAAAGACAACAAAAAATAAACCAAAAGGGGAAGCCTTGCTTATATGAAACTAAAACAATACAAAGTAATCAACATCGCTAGTATCCTATTTTTCACAAAAAGATATTAGAACAATTTATGTAGATATCGAAGGAAAGGAAGAACAACCTAAGGACATCGATCAATGCTAGCAGTACAGCTACAACAACCCTATAATGTTAGAAAAAATTGTAGAAAAAACACTAGAATTTATTGAATATTGCAGTGTTTACAAATGGTTGCAAACCCTGCCTAAAAATAAAAATAAGCACTCAAAAGAGTTTAAATAGACCCTTTTGATAGCTACACAATGCACTACTTCCTTATTTTTTGCTACCAGATTACATTGACAGATAATAAAACACCTAAAAACTCTCAACCACTAGGTAACTAATCCTAAAGACTCTCAACTACTAAGTCCACAATCACATATTTGTAGAACAATAATCAACAGGTGTCCCACAATCAGATCTGCTACAGCTGTCACTTTAGCCTACGTTTGAATTATGTTCTAACATATAATAGTAGAAGGAACAGATATTCACCATCGAGCAAAGAGCAATGGTTTCACATACCTGTTGATTAATGTGCGCATTACCCCAAGAACCCAAAGATGTTTGAACATTATCCAGAATTTTGTTCTTGGTCTCAAACATTAGGCCTGGGCCAAAGGTTTTTCCACCATCAGATAAGACAGAAGTAGGTCCTGTTTGGAGGGACCTGTAAGAACAACATATCAGCATTAGGCATCCAACTGTATACAGACAGTACTTTTTGGGAGGGTCACAATTAGTATCTATTAAAAAGCACATACTTGGTATTGTGAGGCATTTTATCAGCCTGCACATCAAAATTCACAACAGGAGTACCAATTGGAACCAATAGTTGGGACACCATAGTGGCAAATCCTGTGGATGCTTCCATGTTCACTAAGGCCTGCCCCTCAGATACAACAAAATTTGAGCAAATGTTATTTGGTGCTTCACCACCTCAGGATGCATAAATTTTATTTGAGCCTGTTAACACCACAACATTTTGTGCAATAGATCGAGGTTTCTGTGTTGGTGTCCTATTGTTAGTGTTGTGTTGAGGGGTTGGTT